GGTTCATAGCCAACAGCGTCTACATATGCCAATTATCAAATTGTTATTAACTCTAAGTACCAAATTAAGGGTCGTTTTAGTTATGTTTTCATTTTACTCTTTTCTCTGTTTCATGTTTTTGAAAAATGAGATTGAGGATTCAGAGAATTGGAGTACACTAGCCATATATATATATATATATATATATATCTAATTATAAGTTATATAAGATAAAATAGTTCTGTTTTGTTGTCAAATCCTTTTTCACCTTACTCAAAATTCCAATCTAAAATCTTTAACTTAAAATTACATACTCTTAACTAGTTGAATCATACCTTATAATATATTTGGGTTAAGGGAAATGGAAAGAAGGGAAAAAAAATTTTTTATTTGGTTATCAAAAACATTGGAGGAGAGGGGAGAGAAAAAATTTCCTCAATTTTATTTTTTTTTCTTTTAATTAATTTATTTATTTAAATAAGAAAAAAAAACAGAAAGGAAAGGAAATGAAAGGATATAATTCTCTTACCCTCCTCTTCACCCTCCTCAATGTAAATATAAAGTAAGGGTAAAATAAAAAATGAAAATATATATATTTTTTTTTGGATGTTTGAACTCTCACCAGAGTATTGACCACTTTGCTTCTCAAAGACAAGCGTGGTCGCTGGGGCCACACAAGTGATTAGCGAAATGGTTGTCATGATCGGAGTAAAAGACTTTAAGGAGGATACAGCAACGCCGGTTACAGTCCACTATGAGCACATGTTCTCGAGGAAGAAAATGGTTCATCGCAAACATCACGATTCTGTGGACGATGCCGTACGTGACACAAATGCTGTAGGACGTTTTCCCAAATTATCATGCCTTGGAAGGATATTTGTTCAACTTTTTTTTTTTTTTTTTTTGTACAGTATGAAAACCGCATTGACCGTTAAGTTACTCAACTTATAGGACGTTTCGTTTTTTGTCTGTGTTGTCACTATAAAATGACAACTAAGTTTTTTATGAGAAATTTGTAGATGGGTGATATTATAGGGACGATTTTTTTATACCAAATTTTGATACAATTTTCACATGTCATTGAATGAGTGGATGCATTTAACATCACGAATCGCATATAAATTAAAAAAATTAATAATTTAAATGATACATCAAATTGTCTCCAAAAATGATATATAATAAAGTTATCCCAAAATCATTTTCCTTCCTAGATAGCAGACAGATTCTTTATATAAGTTTGCAATTGATCTCTATTCTTTGTGTTGTCACTAGAAAGTGACAGCTAGGTATTTTATGAGGAATTTGTGGACGGTAGACAGATTCTTGATATGCGCTTGTGATTGGCCTTTAAGTTTTCGATGAAAATTTGTAAATTAAGAAAGGCGTTAGAACTTAGTTAAGGACCAGAATTGGCCTCTAGGGTGCGGCACTCCAACACTCAACAAAAGAAACGAATTCATGAAGGAAAACTCTTTGCATGCATAGGTGAGTGGACAACTTTTATGGAAAATATTTTCCAATATAAAGTCACTTTTTGCAAATAAAACGGATTCTAGATATTTTTTCATAATCACCCCAAGTTTTTGTTAGGTATAACCGATGTTGAGTTATATAATAAAAAATAATATATTATTATTTAAAATTTCTCTTCACTTGTTTTAAGATTTAAATTCAAAATTTACAATTTAAATTATCAAATTCTTAACCATTTAAAATAAGCCAAAATCCTTATTTGCATTCTTCATTTATTTTTTTTTTCACGATCAATACTCTTTTTTTTTTTTTTTTACTTTTTACTTATCTTAATGAGTCTTTTTCACATATAAAATATACAATAAATATAATTTTTTGTAATTAATTTATATAAAAAATTATAAAAATTGACTTTAAATTAATTAATTAACTAATTAAAATAATTTATGTATTTATGATATGAAATAAATATTAATTTTTATTATTTTTTATATAATTTAATTATAAAAAATTACATTTATTACATTTTAATTTATACCTTTAAAATATAAATTAAACAAAATTTATAGTAATTTCAATATAAAAGCTAACAATATTTTTCTTCATATCGGAGGAGCTTGAAAAAGTTGAAGGAAATTTCATTCCCACATTTTCAATTCTTTTCTTCTCAAAATAAAAAAAAAAAAAATTTAAGTAAAAGATATCAATTGCCAAGGTGATGCTATGGTGGGCCAAAGACCAAGCGCCAATAATAATCCCTTACGGTGGGCCAAAGACCACTAGCATCCCTCCACGTGCTTGGTATCCCCGTCCAAAAGTATTATTACAACTCAGCAAAACATACCATTAATTACA